TAAGAGAGAAATGTGCTATATCTGTTTCAGTTTTATTTATTTTTATTTCCCAAGTACTTTCGATCTTCTTCCAAGATCATCTTCAGGGGTGCAAGTAGTACAAAACTATATTTTATTTAGGAGCACAAGTATTTATACAAAGCTGTTCGTTACTATCCATTACCGTAATTTTTCATTATGCTTTTAAAAGCAAGCGGTTGCCACTGTGTAAATTAGAACGTGAAAAAATTATCCATTGTAGAATTTTTTTGTTATGCCACAATGTCATGGTCATGTGAGCATGAAAGCATGAAAAACTGTTCCTTTATAGGCATTTCAGAACATTGCTGTAGTATTCATAGTTGATTCTGTTCAATGTCGGCTTTATTTTCTAATGCAGATATTGGCCAACTCTGTTGTGCCGTGTTTTATATCCAGTGGGTGCTAATACCGCGCAACCTGATTCAAGATGGTCAATTGTTTCTGGATATTTATCACAGAGTATGCAGTTTGAGCTAATTTTTCTGTATGTGTGCTTGGTAATTTCTAGTTAGTAAGCATTGGTCCTGTGAATCAATAGTAAACCCTTCAGTTTCAGCTTTTAACCACTTAACACGTATCCACTGAGGAGTACTGGGTTTTCTACGGCAGTCTATTTGGTACGCGCAGGGTATCGACCCTAAAGAAGCCTATCTTGCTATCGTTTTTGCTTTTGGTACTGTAATGGCAAAAGTACGCATGTTTAGGCTTTAAGAAAACTTTATCCAACTGAGAATAGAAGGTTTGCATATAGTGTCCTTTTATAGTCTCAGTAAACAGAAATAGTTCTCTCAAAGAGGAGAGTAACAAAACAAGGGAACACCACTCTTGATTATTCATAACAAATACATTGAATTTTCTTTTTTAGGTTCTTTGCCGCTGTAGTTGTTGCACTGTTGTTGATTTGCACTTCTTCCCTTACATCTCTTTTTTAATTTGTTGGCTTCCTGTTTTACTGAATAAAGTTTCTTATTTCTTTCGGGTTCTTTGACGTCATAATCCACTCTTTTGTCGTTTCCAGGTATCTTTAAAGACCTATTGTTGACTCTTACTACTTTTGTTTGTGTTAGGTATTTATTTGCTGCTGTAATTTAATTCTCTTTATTTAACATTGAAGTCTTGATTTGTACTTTATCACTGGCGGGTATGGAGTTTTCTACATGAGTTTGACTTCAAAATTAGACACTAATAAATATTTTTCACCTGCACAGATTGCAGGAAATAAGAAAGAATAATAACAAGAAACTTCTGATCAATGTTTAGTTCTTTGGTAAGAGAGTTCTAGTTGAACTTATCGTCTGCCTTCTTCTGATCCCGGACCCATACAGACGATCAGCATACGTCTTAGTATAATACATGAGGTAAACATTGAGAAGCTTTCTCGTTTTGAAATCCATTCGCTTACTGTGACCCATGGCCCAATTAAAGATGTTGGAACTGTATTGCAACACAGGTACGGTCATAGAGTTTATGCCTAATATATATTTTTTTCTGCATTCAACTCGGTACTTAGCACCAGACGCACACGTCTGTAGTACCCCTTTTTTACTTTCTCTTTCATTTGGGTATACTATATTCCGTCTCCTACGTATTTATAGGCTTCTTTTTGTTGGAGTTGCTTAAGATTGCTGAAAAAAATCTAAATCTATTGACTTTGTATCTATAATTCTCACATTCTTGAATGTTACTTTTGTACATTTATCTAATCCGAAATCCATACCGATGTCATCATTGAAACATTCTACAGTATTGACGATAACCTTAAACCCATTTTCGTTCTTGGCAAAGAGTCTGATATCATCCATGTCGAACAGTAATTAAACACTTTCTTGTTAACTTTAATCCATACTTATTACCATTTAGTTCATGCAAAAAGCGGATTAATGACAGGCAGGTCAGAGAAACTACAAGGGATCTCTTTGAAGGTTTCTTCGTAGGATATTCAAACAACTTGAAGTGGTAGTACCTTAGATGTGATTTAGGTATAATGTGATTTTTCACAGTCCCATGCTATATTTAAGAAAAGTAACTATATACCGATTAGACTTTGTACATTTCCAAAGCCTTAAAGTTCCAAGATTATGGCACATCATCAAAGGTTTTACGGTAATCTATCGAAACTGTGGCGAAATTTCTACATTTTTCACAATTTTCCAGCATCATTTTATTTGTTGATAGTTGATCTTTGCATCCATATGAACCTCTTCTGCATCCCATCTGTTCCAATTCAAGAATGTTGTTTTCTTCGAAAAAGGAGTAAGTACAGTTCTTCAGGACAGACGTGATCAATTTATACGTGGTGGAAAGCATGTTATTGGCCTATAATTTTTCGGATCATCTGTTTCACTCGTTTTTAGCATAAGATATCTAGTACTTTCAGTGATCCATTCTGTGATTACATTGGGATTATTTATAAGCATTGATAGCGTTTTTGCAAGGGCTTTATGGATTGATGAGAGATGATAGAGTCAGAAATTGGGCACCTTGACATTTCCTGGGGATTTCCATTTTGGGGATTTCGTTAGAGCTTGCCTAACATTATATGTGGTTATATTTCCCCACTCTTGCATAGGTTTATCCAGCAATGGTTCTTCGCTTTGGATCCATTCTGCATTTGAGTTATATTCCTTTGGGTGGCTCCAAATATTACCCCAAAATGCCTTGCACATTGTCAATAGATGGTGGCATTCGACATGTATAAGTGCTTTTCCAATTTCCCTGTAAAATTTCTAAAGGTCTGTTTCGAATATTGTTATTTTGGCGATAGAACCTACAACTTTGTTCGTATCGTCTTGTTCTCTGTGTATTTAACTGACGTTTCTGTTTCAGCATTACCTTGACTGATGGAATTTCAACTAGGGATTTATTATTATTATTATTATTATTATTATTATTATTATTATTATTATTATTATATCCAAATGGTAATCATTGTTCACATTTAATAAGCAGTTTTGACAACGATATACCAATTTGACTCCAAAATTAGACACTAATAAATACGAATAATATCAAGAAACTTCTGATCATATTTAGTTTGGATTAAATCCTTAGTTACATCAATATGTCCGTCGCCTACTGATAAAAACATCAACTTGTTAAAAGAGATATATTTTCTTCTTATTCCCCTATCATGACAATCCACTTAATTCCGTAACAAATCATATTAATTTGATTCTTATAGTGACAATATCAGATCATGTTCGAGATGTTAACTTGTTGAACTAAGGAACGTAGTTTGTCTGAATACTTTTCATGAAAATAACGATAGAGCTGAGAGAGAAAGGGGGGTTTTATTTGGGGGGAATAATTTGTCACTCCTAAGGACCTTGAGACGCTTTTAGATTAATGACAGCAAGGCTTCAACAGCAGCAGCAGCTAAAAAAAAAAGAAGACTCACGGAGTACAATTAAGCGTGGCAAAAATGGCCGCATTCATCAGCATGTACGTTACGTTTGACAGGTTCTCCCCTCAGGATAGTCTAGTGCAGGTGTCGGCAACCTTTTGCTAACTATATAGTGACTTAGGGTTTTAAAATCCTTCAGTGTGCCAACAACATACGTATTTTTATACAAGTCAAAGTCAATATACTTGTTCTACAATATATTTTATATAGTAATATATACAATAATAAGTAAACCACATTAATAGAAATAAACTGTTTTTAAAAGTTTTTTTTTTAAGTTTTTATTATTAATGGGAGTCCGACGAGTGAGCAGTTTTGAAACAGCTAAATATGCCATCCTTCTGCGACAGTAACTTGCCGAAGGTGCTTGGTGAATGACTCGTATGAGACAGATAACACTTTTTGTCCCAGTCCTTCAGGAGTTTTGCCTTCAGAGACTTCAACCGATGGTGGAACGTAGTAGAAACTTTGTTTTCTAAGATACCCGAGACAAGGGGTCGGCAAGCTTTTGCTATGTGCCGACTTAGGGTTTTAAAATCATTCATTGTGCCAACAGCATACGTATTTTTATACAAGTCAAGGTTAGTATACCTGTTCTACACTTTTTTTTATATAGTAATATATATATATATATATATATATATATATATATATATATATATATATACTTTTTAGTACATTAAGACATTTTTATGTTTATACGTTCTTTTTAATAATGCAAATATTTAATTAAATGCTTTGTTTTATAATAAACAGTATTAACGACATTTACCAGCCTGAATATCCGAGAATTTTTCATAAAAAATATGAGTCCTCCGACAGGAATCGAACCTGTATACGGAACTGTCATATAGCCTGAAGTGCTTTTACCGATCGAGCCACAGAGGTCCGTTTCGGTTAGCATGGTTCAATTCCTGTCGGGGGACGTATATTTTCTATGAAAATTTCTCCGACATTCAGGCTGGTAAATGTCGTTAATACTGTTTATTATAAAATAGAGCATTTACTGAAATATTTGTATCTATAAAAACAATGTATAAGCATAAAAAATATCTTAAAATAATTTTGGGACTTTGTCTATTTCATACTTCAATATATATTAAAATTGAAACAGCTAAATATCTTCTTTGCATTTTAGGAATTAATTGGTTAGGACTTTGTCATGTTATTTGCGGCGGCGTGCCATTGGAAATTGCTTGTAGGCTGCCGACCTAATGGATTAAAATATTGGTTTGTGAATTTGATGAAACAATAATTGTGAGATCAATTCTTTGTTCAGTTAGTGAGTATTTGAAGTCAGTGGGAACGAGGTGAGCAATAACAGAGCAGTACTAAATAAAAATGATACGAAATATCAGCGGACTAGACCATTCTATCTCCGTCGATTAAAAGGGTCGAGTTCGGAATTCCTTGAAGTTTACTCCGATCGACAAGCACTTGATGAAGGCCGGAGGCACAACGACCGAAATGTGTGATAATAACAAGAAAAATGAGGAAAACAGTGCGCATGTAAATAAGGATATCTTCTTATTCTGGTGATTCAAACAGAAGGTATTTTGTTAGAATAAGAAATAAA